ACGTGGGGAGCGCAGGGACACCCTGGAGGGGCCCGGGATGGTGGGGACACCCTGGGGAGCACATGGGGGTGACAGGGACACCGGGGCAGAGGGGATGTGGGGAGCGCAGGGACACCCTGGGGGATATTTTGGCAGGAGGGCCACCCATTGCGGGGACATGAGGAGGACACGGTCACCGTGGTGGGGACACGGGGCAGCAGAGACACCCCAAGGAGCACATGGAATGCGGGAGACACCCCTGGGTGCACGTGGGGAGCGCAGGGACACCCCAAGGAGCACATGGCGAGGGCAGGGGCACGCTGAGGGGACATGGGGACAGCAGAGATGCCCAGGGGAGCACGGAGGCAGGCAGGGACACTCAGCGGGCACGGCACAACGAGGACACCGGGGGAGCACATGGGGAGCGCGGGGACCCCCTGCAGTGACCCGGGCATGAGGGCAGGGGCACCAGGGGGACGCGGGGAGGGCCGGGGGGCAGTGGGGGCCGCCACGGTTCGCCCTCACCTGAGCACCCCGAGCGGTTGCACTGGCGGAACTGCCCCTGCAGCCCCACGCAGAGCGCCGCGCCGGCACCGGCACCGGTGCCGTTTAGGGGGTCGGTGCCGTTTAGGGGGTCGGTGTCGATGCTGATGTCAGCGCTGGTGTAGGCGGCAGTGCCAATGCTGGTGTAGGCATCAGTGCCGGTGTAGGTGTCAGTGCCCGTGTAGGCGTCAGTGCCGGTGTAGGCGTCAGTGCCGGTGTAGGCGTCAGTGCCCGTGTAGGTGTCAGTGTTGATGTAGGTGGCAGTGCTGGTGTCAATGCTGGTGTCGGTGCCGTTGCCGGTGCCGTTGCCATTGCTGGTGCCGGTGCCGGTGCCGGTGCCGGTGCCGGTGCCGGTGTCGGTGCCGATGCCGGTGCCGGTGCCGGTGCCGATGCCGGTGCCGGTGCCGGTGCCGGTGCCGTTGCTGGTGCCGGTGCCGATGCCGGTGCCGGTGCCGGTGCCGATGCCGATGCCGGTGCCGGTGCCGATGCCGGTGCCGGTGCCGGTGCCGATGCCGGTGCCGGTGCCGGTGCCGATGCGGCGCCGGTAGCGCTCCTGCACGGGGCGGCTGCAGCTGCAGGCGCTCCAGGGGCTCCAGGCGCTCCAGGAGCAGCCGCCTGGGGACGGCAGCAGAGGGACATGAGGCCCCCGGGCCGGGCGGCAGCGCCCTGGGGACGCCGTGGCCGTGTCCCCCGCGGCGCGGAGCGCGGGCGCTCACCGGGGCAGG